CAACATTCGGCGACCGAAATCCTTACGAAGAAAATCTGAAATTGCAGAGAAGAGACAAAGTTCCTTACTAAGACCCAATTACTCATACCATATTTGAAGAATTCCAATGTACCGCGAAATCTTGATAACGAGACGACTTATTCAATGACCAAATCATGTGTCCGACTGCTCATGACAATTCCAATTATTATGGATGGGGTCAAATCATGTGCCTTTCAGATTTCACGTAGATCGGCACCACCCAGCAGTGGCAACGATTCTCACCGTAGCATTTCCATTTATTTTTCGCAATCATTTCCATCTTTGAGACAATAATCCAATTCCACCATTTTACTAAAACCCTACCTGCTATGCAATTTCTAGCTCATTTAATTCCAGGACAGTAGTGGCACATGCATTCCTGTCCGTCCAATTAATATAATGTGTGCTCCTGCCTGACCATCATGCTAAGGCCGGATCATATCCACCAAAATGTGAGCATTCGCACACAAGAAATGCCATAATTAATTCACGATACCCTAGGTGGAACATATGTTGGCCACCAGACCTTTGTCTGCCAAAGAGCCGTTTATTTTTATTTGCAAAAATGAAATGCAAGAAACTGAACTCTGGAGGTAATCCTCGCCAGAACGTCTCTGCAATTTAAATGGTTGGGAGTCATGTTAAGGAAGTAGTACGCGAAATAATTGAGTACATGTGGTGAATGGCGTAGCTGGTGCATTCACAGTAATTTTTTGAAGTACAGGTTTTCGGGGGTGAAAATATTAGGGGGTCTCTCACTCGCCAGTCAATGAGGACACGAAAGAGAGAATAGGGAAATAGAGCAACGTCCTGTGGTCGACTGACAAGTCTATTTCGGGAAAGTCGCCAAATTGTCACACTGGGAACAACATTGCAGCACGAGAGCTGCCAGAATGGGCAGAGTAAATATTCTGAAAGCGCGGCAGAAAAATCGTTCTCAAGAGCCTGTCCCACGTTTTCTCGAAAGGAACGAATGCAGCCTTTCCATGAGTAAGCCACTGAAAACTAATTTGAACAATACAAATATATTATTCCAGGCGAATTTCCTCTTCCGATTAGTAGCCTTTATTCGCTGCGTTTCAGTTGATTTAATTTTTCATCTCTACCCACGGGAAATCTAATCATCGGAAAAACCTTCTCAGTGCGAAAGAACTGAGCGACGTCTCTGAAGAAAGACACTACCAACAGATAGTTAAAAATGCAGAGAGCGAATGATGCGGGTATGGGAATGGAGTATTAGGGACTTCTTGGAAATGTAGGTGCCACGTGAGGAACTGAAGGTAGGGAGGTTGGATGGACGAGAGAGGACGAAAGAGGATAACCTCACGATTAACGTCATCAGTGTTTTAAATTAGGAACTGAAGGTAGGGAGGTTGGATGGACGAGAGAGGACGAAAGAAAGCCAGGGGACGGCCGGGAATTGAACCCGGGCCTCCTGATTACCGGTCAGGTGTGCTTCCATTACACCACCGAACCCAGGACAGTCAGTCGTGCCTCGCAACACTGCCTTCATCACATAGGAATCTTAGAAATTTTAGAAATTTCGAGAAACTGTTCTGGAACAAGTGCTCCCATTCCTTGAGAACGACGATGTGTTGGTCGTGAACGTTGTCCAAGACAAGGTAACCTGGACGAGAATTGAAATGAGAATTGAGAAAATGAATTTCGAAATCTCACCAGTTTAGTAATTCAGTTTAGGGAGAACGATTTCGGGCCTTTTTACCGCCTTATCTCAACCAGAAGGCACCTATGGACGAAAGCATCATAGACTATGGAGAAGAATGAATGCACTGTGAACGAAATCCCGATAGTTACTCCGAATCAACGCTTTTGAACAATCTCACTGACATCTTTCATGAACTCCAAAACGACCCTGAACTCTTCGAAAGTCTTCTTTGTTCGCTGTCGAAGCGAATTTACCGATTATTGAATAAAAGAGTAAATTTAACATTCCTGAACTTTGCGACGAATCAAACAACTGAGATAACTGTTTACTTCCAAAAGCTCATTTTAATATTATATGGAAAGCAGAATTGGGAACTTTCTTTCTATTCGAAACTCTACCAAACGACCCTCTACTGACCCCTTTGATTATGATTTTGTTCCACCTTGCACATAACCCACATGGAGGTAAGCCATTGGCTATCAGACCATTGTCACCCATCCCTCTCCTACGGATATTAGCTCTTACTAGGTTAGACGGTGGATTACGATTTCATATTCCTCCTTTGACAAAGGGGTAGCCTGAGACAATAAAAAATTACGTGGAGGAGAGACCAGGAAAAGGTGAGCAACTGCTTGCCTTCCGGAGCTGGGTAAATGGATTGCTGGAAGGCCATATTCAGATTTTGCTCAATAAGATGATGACGTGGAAAGCTTGCATTGTGTCTACGAAGTAACAATTTCCGCTGGTCTGACCTTTGAAATTTTGCAAGCTAGTTGAAGCATGGAGAACGACAATGGAGAATTTGAAGACCAACTGCATGCAACAGCTGGAAATCCTGGTGGACATATGGTGAAAAAGGTGCACAGTTTGTCCGAGCAGTGAAAGTTTATGTGCAGTTTTCTAATGATACATAAGAATATCCTATCTTTGGATACCTTCGTGTCCCTAGTTCTTCCCGAATGGGACGTCTTCGGAAATGTTTTGTGAATGATTTTTCTAGAGCATTTTACCTCATATTGTACCTGAATGGAAAGTTCAATCCGTCCTTATATTTCACCTTATTTTATCCTAGGTTGTTCTATCTGTGACACCTAGGGAGAGGCTCCCTTAATCTCCAATTCTTCGGAGGTATCTAACCCCCAGCTGGTGCATATGAATGCACGGTAAAATTAGTTTACACGGGTCTTAAGAACCGTATTTTATCCAATTTAGTTTCTTTTTCTCTGTAGAACCACCAATAGAAAACGTATTGACGAAGGAGGATAACCTCACGATTAACGTCATCAGTGTTTTAAATGCATCTGGTACTGCCAGTCTGATAGTCGTACTGACGCTTAAACGCTCCTTGCCAACAAGGAAGAAAATGCGTGCGAATATAGACCTTTTGGCAATTATGGCTCAACTGTATCGTTTGATGGATGAGAACATGCCAGATTCTCGGGAACACGCTTCAATTGAGATATTATACATTACATCGAAATTTAAAGGGAACACTGATGTACCTGTCGCTATCGGTCAAATAAAAAAAACGAATGATTACATATATGCATATATGCATAACTTATTTTTCTTGCTTGCGTTCCAGGCCTATAGGTGGAGTAGTATCGGATGAATTTTAACGGATTTTGTATTAGTCTCCAGTTCTTGGTACTAAAATGTGTCAGAGTCCTAATCGTAGGAGCCGTGCTTCAAAGGATGTGAAATCCTAGGAAGTCAATATGGAACCGTAGTGACTGGGGCATATGAGTCATAAAATCTTTCAAGAACTGTTTACGCGTTTCGAAGGATCTTTTGAATGGAAGGCCATTCTAGAGAATATAATTGTGCAGTTACGTTTCATTCCCTCAATCGCCAGCTCCTTCTCCCCCTATCCCATCCCATGTCGAATTATTTAGGAGGGATACTCAATGCTTTTCCTGAGTTCCTTCTAAATGACTTTCAAACTACCTCTGGAGAAGCTTCTCAAGGTTTCTTTTGCAGTTTCTCTAGTTTCTACTTAGTTGAAAAATATCAGCTATACAAGTAAATAGCCCGGTCCCTCATTATGGTGATCATATTTCCCATTTCATTTCTACTTCAACTTTTCCGCTAGCTTCATCCCTATCATTCCATCCTTCCGCATCCCCTTGCCCATATCAGCCGTCTTTCCCCAAGAACTCCTGATTTTTCCCTTTAACTCCCTCCTTCCTATTATTATTCCACTTTTTTCCTTCGAATCAGCAAGCATCTTGGGCTGAACTGAACAAAGAAACAGCGCTAATGTCCCTGTTTGGTGAAAATGAACTCTTTAGCTTTCGGCGACATCGTTTGCTGCGGCTAAGCTGCCATTTAAATGAATACGTCTCAGATCACTGCGAAGCTCTACACGAATTCATATGAGAACGCAGCGTAACTCAGCTCAATGTCAAAAACTCGATAAAGATACTTGTTCCATCAATATATCACTACATATGCGAGGTACCTCGTATCCTCCACGTGTCATTTCTAGACAGGATTAAACGTATTATTCATTCAATACTCGTACTTGAATCTTAAATGTTTGCGCTGCTGTCATTCACCCTATGCTATATTTTAGTGCGTTTCTGGAGTATATATAAAGAATAAAAATTATTAAGAAAAATATGCTTGGACTGTGCAATAAGATTGACGCAGCATCCATGGCGGATGCATAAGAGATTCTGGTTCTTGCAGCAATGGCTAACTCATTGCATTAAATATATATCTAATGCATTGATCACGTGCACCTGGACATAGCAATCGAAAGCACTATTTACTATGCGGACAAGAAGGAGCTTGGAGTCGCGAAATATGGAAACTTAGTTTAAACTGGATTCCAGGGAATGTTTCCTCGCGAAAATAGCTAAGAAAAATGTATACTTTCATTGCAATGTAGACAACTTAGCCACGAAAATCCCGTTTTAAATCCCGACATCGTTCGTTGAGGCGCTTATTTCATTCGCGATTCAGAGGGCTACGATGAGTACAACAATAAACGTAGCTCTACTTAAGTAATCATATGTATCAGCTAAAAATGACATAAATTCATGAGGTTGGACGAAACGGGAGGAGAAACGGGATAGTCCCAGCGTATTAATGATATATAATCTCAATATGATACCATATCCAGGTGCATCACTAAGTTATTTTTTTATTTTCTAGAAGATACATGTATTCGAGCTCAGTTACCGAAACAATTTCAGCGTATTAGTGTTGCCAATAAGTGATTTCATCTTCTCCTTTTCTCTTTGCAAAATGTAACAGACGGCGAGACTATACAGTGTGCAAATTCATTTAGCTACTCTCGAGTGTCGCAATGCACGTATGGGAAAGTCGAAAATGCGCAAAATGGATTTCCCAGGCACAAGTCAAATGAGATTAGAGGAAAATCGATAATAGGCGACAATCATTGGGATAAGCAAACTATGAAGCACTCGTTGTCCCTGTCAGAGTATTGTTCCAACTTCACACCCATTGAAGACGTTTTAAGGCCTATATTAACTTCAGGTAGGCTAGGGAGAGACGCAAACATCTTCAGCGCTGCATGTGTCATGCTCAGACATGCTTCCTTAAATGTCTTAATGCCTCGGAAGTAATACGATGACCAGCAGAAGCAAGAGGAATGATGATGTAGCATTCGAGGAACCATGACTCTCGAGGATAAGTCGGCCAATTGATTGCATGCGCTGAACTAAACAACCTCATTTTCATACTATCGAACATGGGTGTAGTTCCACTGGTCTTTCAGGAATCTGATACGAGTGATCTTTCGACTCATGGATACACGGTTTTTAAAAATACAAATGGTTGAGAAAATTGAGGATCATCAGAAGACTTGGGCACATAGCATATGTGCCCATATACCATAGATTGCTATATCAGGATATTGTAATGCATTCCAGGATATCACTCACCTGAGTAACAGGGATGCCGCCATTACTGGTTCCACTCAATTCCAACATATGGACTCTTTTGAGGAAACCATAGCTTATCTTATCTTCCTTCTCAAGAGCCAGCGTTCCGCAATGAGTCACATCCTGTGTTCCTATCCGTCTGTCCCATATCACGCTTGTTGACTGACTGCATGGCAACAGAGTGCTTCATCGAACCTTTTCCTTGTGGTGCATTTTTTCGATCTCATGAAAGGTAAGGGAAGACATTGAAGCGGGATAAATTTGAGTTGAGAACCGCTCAATATGAATCATTCTAGGTTTGGAGATGAATCCATAATTAATTGAGCCTAAGTAATGGAACTCCTATTCAATGCATATTATTTCAGAAGATGGGGGATCTGACACAACAGTTAGTGAGCATTTTGGGGCTTGCCAATGCTCTGTGTGAGAGTATCACCGTGAATGAAGTGAAAGAATCCCTTGGCGTCTTTCAGCACCTCTTAAAGGAAATGTTGCAGCACTTAAATCAGAGCCCGTCCTTGGCACAGTGGTTATACAATTCAGCCTTTAATCCAGCTCTCCTTCAGAAGTGGCTAAGGAAGCAGGAAATCGAAGGCAAAGCTATTGACCATCTCGTAAGAAACTTCGTCGATTCAGGAGTGGAAATTCGTGATGCATCAAATGCGCTTCAGGCCACCAGTCAGACAATCACATCAGTGTTATGCTTCTTCTATAAAGGCACTGATTATGCAGATCCCTTTCTGGAAAGCTTGAATAGTTGTTTGATACAACAATCAATCCCTCTCGTAACAACGACATCAGTTTACGAGGATTCTGACCAAGTGCAGATGCTGTTTGAATATCAACGCATTTTCCTCCATTATTCAAAGTCTCAGGGGAACCGAGCTATTAAGTATGTGGCAGCAGGAGCGGCTGCACTCGATGGCGTGTGCGCTATCATGCTGAGTGAAGCAGGAGGGTTATCCACGCAAGCGTTTGTCCCTCCAGGAGAACCGACTAATGTTCAACTTCAGGGTTCACCTGATGGAGTATTCATCGAAGTTTATTGGAATGGGCCAGCTGTTGGGGGGAACTACGTCAACGGATTCCTGGTGTGGTTCAGAGCTGACAGTGACCTAACAGAAAATTGGCAATATGTTACGGTCGAGTCTTCGCCAGCTAGGATTTCCCTTCTGGTTCCAAGACAGAGACAACATTTCAAGGTAAGTTCTCTCGGATCAGCCAATGTCGTATCTGTTACCCATGTAGAACGTTCTTCAAATTGACTTTTGGCTTTCATCTAGGTGAGCGCCACATCTCGTCTTGGAGTTGGACCGTTTAGTCCGACTGTCAGCTGGAGCGTCCCCATCCCTCAAACCCAACAGCTACCTTCATATCCCAGAGTTTCTCCATCACCCTTTGGTCAACATCCTCATTTAAAACATGACAGATCAAACGGATTTACACAAGAAACCGCAATGCCTGATCGTCAAGATGAAAAGCAATTTCAAGTCGAACGCAGTATGTCTCCAAAAGCGCCAGGGTCACCTGCTGAGTACTTGAAGCAGAAGGGAACTCTCATTCGCCCAGGAAGACCTTCCTTGTATAGAATCCAAGCAGTGGATGTTATGCGAGATTCAGAAAGTGAAACCTCCAAGTGTAAAATTCCTTTTGAATTGGTCCATGAGGACAAAGAGGACAAAGTCATCATTCTTCTCGGCGCCACAGGAGCAGGTGAGAAACTGTTGAAACACTAATCAAATGACGCTAGGTGTCAAGATGCTCAATTACTTTTCTCAACAGGGAAGAGCACTCTGGTGAACGCATGTGTAAATCACTTTTACGGAGTGGAGTGGGAAGACCCCTTCAGACTGATATTGATCCCAGATTCTGAAAGTGGAAAACCAAAAGCTGAGAGTCAGACGTCCTGGATCACAGCCTATACCTTCCCATGGCAAGTGGGATGTCGAGCCCCCTACAACCTCACGATCGTGGACACTCCAGGGTTTGGAGACACGAAAGGATTAATGGGGGACAAAAACATCACTAACCAACTTCAGAAATTCTTCACCAAGAGCAAACCGGAAGGCCTCGATCATCTTGATGGGATCGGCTTCGTGCTTCAAGCATCCAATGCTAGATTGACGCCGACTGAAAAATATATAATTGACTCAATTCTCTCTGCTTTCGGGAAGGACGTCGTCAATAACATTTATTTGATGATCACATTTGCTGACAGCAAGATTCCACCTGTACTCGGGGCTATCAAGGAAGGGCAGATACCATTCGTGGATTTTTTTCGCTTCAACAATTCAGCCCTATTCTCTTCTCCTAACGCTAGTGATTCCGAGGATTCTCGTTTCGATGCCATGTTTTGGAAACTGGGAAGAAGGAGTTTCTCCAATTTCTTTGTCAAGTTCCAGGAATCAAAGTCAGTAAGTATCAGCCTGAGTAAGCAAGTTCTGAAAGAGAGACAAGCTCTCGAAGCAACCATCCAAGGAATTCAAACTCGGATCCAAGATGGTGAGCTTATTGAATCTCCCATTTTATCTTTTGTAGCCATTTGTCCCATGTACATCGCTTCTCAACTCCGTAACTACTGAAAAATGGGTTGTGGGACAAAGCATCATGTGTGTCGTGACAGTACCTCACCGTTGCTTACAACTACTTTTTCTTTCTAAATCAAGAAAGCTGTGAATGTACGCAGGAAGTAGTTAAATTGTTGAGGTAGCTACTCAACTACCACTGGGAAACCAAAGGCAGTGCATTTGATAATGAATGGTACATGGAAAAGCGATGCTACCTGATGAAATCACAAAATGTCAGATTTGGTCACACCTGAATTCAAGAAATAACGTTGCCCGGAATTTAGGATTCACTAAATAGTAACTCTGAGAGAATCCAATTGCCAGACAGCAATCCTTGGGCGCGAACCATCAATAAAGTTGCAGCTGTTGCATCTCATCAAACATACTCAGAACATACTACTACAGGGTCATCAGGAAAAGACGCTCCAGTTTTTATCACTTATATTTCATGAAGTACATGACCAACAACTTCATATGTGGTATCATTCGACACGTCAGGCTTGGGAGATTTGTACTATGCAGTCCTAGTGCTAATTTCGAAATACAGTAGGAAAAAAGCTAGCGTATGTCACAGAGCAGCGGGTGTTTATGGTGAAAATGTTTTATCAAACTGGCAGCGTTATGAAAGTGCAGTGTGATTTTTGAAGTGAATTTTGACGTAGGGACACTCCAAGCACATCTGCAATAAACAGGCCAGTAACAAAATTCATAAATACTGGCAATGTAAAGGACAATAAGAAGGGATATCACATTGAATGGCATCCGAAAGTTAAATTATTGATAAATTGACTGTTCGTGACCTAAGAATATTTTAGGGCAAATGTAAATGTCGACGGAGAATACATAATGCGCTCCCTGCAAAAATGTCATTCAACATTAGCCTCAACTTGCCTATGGTTATTCCCCCCGTTGATGTTCTGAGGCCTAGTATCCAGGTTTTATTGTGTCTGTATCAGCTCCTGTTAACTATCTGAAAAAATTCCAATGTTCCCAAGCGAAAGGAAGCACAGCATGACCCAGAGAGATCAACGATCGCCTAAATATGATTGAATCCATGAAGGCTTCACTCGATAATAATTTACTATTCAGTATTAGAATGTAATTAAGATTCTTCGCTTGAAAATATTACATAAGACGGTCTTTTTACTGAAATGTTCAAGCAATCAAGACAGGAAGAAACAACATACGAGGGCTGTTTGAAAAGTTCGTGGACTGGTCCCTTACGAAAATGTCTTATAAGATTCCTATATATTCCTATAAGAATCCTATAGGAACCTAAAGGAATACTATAGGTTCCTATATGCCCCATAGAGTTCAGTTCTGGGATCCTATAGGTTTTTCGTATTTCAAAAACCTATAGGAAAGTCCATAGGTTTCCTATAAGAAATAACTATAGGTTTCCTATAGGACATTTCCGTAAGTGGTCGCTCTGCGTCGCTGTTATGAAGAGGGAGGCGGTGACTGCTATGCCGAGTTGTAGTGGTTGGGATAATGTAGTACTGGCGTGACCTTCGTCTCTCTACCGTCGTTAGTATTTGAGTTACGGTCGTTTTAAAAGAACCTGTTTTGCGATGGCCGAGAAACTCGATATTTTCTAGGTAGAGCGTCAGCGTTGCGCGATTGAATCTTGTGTTCGACTTAGAAAAAGTGGTTCGGAAACCCTGCAATTCCTCCAGCAAGCCTATGGAGATGATGCAATGAGACGAGTTGTGGTTTTCAAGGGGTGGAAGCACTTTAAAGACGGGAAAACGAATGTGAAAGATGAACCGCATCCTCTTTCATTAACGTTTCTGCTTTCTCCGCGTAGGCAACTGTCACCGCTGTGTTAGGCCTGCCGCTACGAGGTTAATCTTTCACGTTCGTTTTTCCTCCTTCTCCATAACAGCGACGCAGTGGGGCCAGTCCACGAACTTTTCAAACACCCCTCATATGTTCTTTAAATCATCCAACATCCAAAAATGGTGAAACCCATGTTTTGTCGAGGATCCGAAATCTTCGTGGATGCAATCTTGGACAACATTCATTCTGGAAATCTCACTTTTGAATCGCGGTGCGTCGTTCAAGCACCTCAGCACTATTGGCATTTGCAGCGCTGTTGTCTTCAGGAGATGACGGTTAGAATACCATTGTAGGTATATGCTTATCCTATGCAACATATCGAGTGATACCAGTTGCTGGCAAAGCAACTTTAAGCCTACCTTTCCCTTTTAGAGCAAGTTTCTTGCTAGGGAATGGTTGCTATGAATGAAAGAAATTCATTAGAACAATATTCTACTGATATCATGTTCTCCTCGCTTAAGTTGTTATGACACTAAATCCCAATTGAAAAATACTAATAAGAAAATCTGAGGCCTCGATGCATTTTCGAGGGCTCTTAAGCTATTAAGCTTTCCATATGAAGGAATTCCACAAAAAATGAGTGCGGATTAAAATGTCAAAGGTTCTAATGACGATATTAACTTTTCTCCTTGTTGAACTTCCCCTTGCTTGAAAGAAATTTCTTTCTATTCCCTTATAGCACTGAATATCCTCAGTACCATAAAATATGAAACAGCCATACTGGAGCAAAGAAAGGCAGAAGTAAACACCAACAAACACTTCTCTTACCAAGCGCAGGTGACAAAACAGAGAAGAGTCGCTCTGAAAAGAGGTGAATATGTAACAAATTGCCTAAGATGCAATTTCACTTGCCACTATCCGTGCACGTTGCCAAACGACGACCGGAAAGCAGAGTGTGATGTCGTTAACCCATTGACAGGCCAATGCACGGTATGTCCAATGAAATGTCACTACAAGGAGCATATCAACAATCAGCATCGATTTGAAACATACATAGCTATAGAAACGAAGACACTTGAAGACCTGAAACATTCATATGGCAAAGCTCTTTGGGGTAGGTTTAATGCAGATAACTTGATCAGAGCCTCTCGACAGAAATACGTAGAAACTCAATTGGAAATGATGGATCTTCTCCGGGATGCTCATAAGAAACTCTGCATATTGGATGAGATCGCCTTGAAGCCGAATCCAATGACCATCACAGATTATATTGACCTCTTGATCTCATCAGAAAACTACCAAATGAGGCCCGGCTGTATGGATAGGGTCAGAATCCTTCAAGAAATCCGTGAGAGTGCGGAAATGAAAACCATCGGTAAAGAAGGAAGTCGTAATCGAGGAAAAGGAGATGACTCACGGAAGTCGTCTGACTTCTCGGCGCATAAGGACGTTGGCCTGAATCAGAATATCCTCAAGGATGACGATTCATTGGAAGAAGATCCACAAGACAGGCAGGGTGAACGAGCACTAGTAAGTTGATATTAACGGTTTTCCTATAGGGTAACTAGGGGCAATATGGCCCTTCATAATGAATCCCCTTACAGACTAAATAATACGCTTGGCCGAGTTTTGGAAATAGTTCTATCAAAGTGAACATGTAATTGTCGAAATGTTTAGACCTGTTCATTGATCTAGTTCTCACAGGAATTCGGAATACATCGATAGACATCATATAGTCATATGCATGTGATTCTTTGACTCATGACCATGAAACTAATATGAGCCTTGAATAACTTAAGCGTACATTTCCTAATAGCAGCATGGATACAGAAACAATTTTTTCAAAGTTCTACTATGGTCTCTCCAGAATGTTTGTTCAAAGTGCTAGCCCCTTCACTTGCTGTTTGCGGTCAGCGTTGTCAAATTTATCATGCAAGCCAATATGGGGCAATATGGCCATCTTGAATAAGGGTCATATGTACATATCCTTCACTTCAAGTTAGCACCGCACCGACCTATTGATAGTGTCAGCTTCATTTCATGGGCTAAAAGGATAATATCATTCTTCCTGTTCCTTGCGTGTGTGTGGGGTGGGGTGGGGTGGGGTGGGGTGGGGGGAGGACATTGGTAACACTGCAGAATTTCACTCAGGAAAAGCTGATTTTTATCGTATTCCCTCACTGTATGTAAACTCTCATGCAACATTTCTGGGGAAATGAATAATCTCTGCTTGCTACATGTTGCCAATATCAGGCTGGCAATGATAACACTCGGCCAGAATTAGCTTGAACCCACAATAAAAAAAATGTTTATGACAAGGGAATTCGCGCCATTTGTAGGTATGAAAATAGAAAAAAAGGTGCTTGAAATATTGATATACAGTATATCGTATATTTTTTGGAGCGCAGATGGCCGAAGGCAGGTTCACAACGAGTTTGTTTCCACAAAGAGAAAACAATTTCGGATGCGCATCAGCCAAATACGACGTCGAGGTTCATAATATTGGCCTTCAGTCTCGCTCCTTTTCTGCAAGCTAACCTCCCAGAGTTTAAACAATCTCTGTCAGGTTTTGGTTTGGGAGCGGGGTTCATTCCCCCATCGCCTAGATTGGTCTGGGTGGGACTGGCACCATTGTAACCATGGGAACTTATTAGAATATTAAAATATTACTAGCGGCCTGCGGCCGCTACGCTGGCCGTCTAACAGGTGAACATTTCAATAGTCTATTGCGAGCATAACGTCTCCTTGGCTAATCCTCTGTACATCGCATTACCCATTCGGAACTGAACCGCTTCATTACATTTATACACATATAGCTTACAGTACACAGGGAGATTCT